GAGGACGTGCATTGATAGAGAAAGAAAATACAGTAATAAGTATATAGACGACATTTTAGAAAAGTTTCTCAATCATTGTTCTGTAGCAATAGCAAAATGAGAAAGCTAATGGCTGCTTCCCTTTCTTTGCTTTCACACTCTTCTCCCTCTCCTAACTAACGACATCAATACCACAAGTTTAATTGAAAAAGAAAATCCACCTCCCGCGAAACCACCCCCGACACGACAGCACATGGCGGCAGCCGTCGTCTTCCACCTCCTCGGCCTCCTCCTCTCCGCCGCCGCCGCCGCATCCGACGACCTCGGAACCCTCCTCCAAATCAAAGCCGCCTTCCGAGACTCCAACCCCAAATCAATACTCGATTCGTGGGCGGCCGATGCCTCCGCCTGCGAGTTCCCCGGAATCACCTGCGATTCCGGCGGCTCCGTCACCGGAATCGACCTCTCGAGACAGAACCTCCACGGCCCGCTCCCCGTGAACCGCATCTGCCAGCTCAGATCCCTAGAGAAGCTCTCCGTGGGTGGGAACAACCTCAGCGGCCGCGTTGCCGAGGATCTCAACAACTGCTCCTCCCTCAACTACTTGGATTTGGGTAACAATTTCTTCTCGGGCCCTTTCCCTGACATATCCGCCATGAACGGGCTCGTCTATCTGTACGCCAACGCTAGTGGATTCTCGGGCCCTTTCCCGTGGACCTCCCTCAATAACATGACCAATCTTCAGGTTCTGAGCCTGGGCGATAACCCCTTCCATCGGACCCCTTTCCCGCGCGGGATTCTGAATCTCACCAACCTCAACTGGCTCTACTTGACCAACTGTAGCATCGACGGCAATATCCCTGAAGAAATCGGGAATCTCGTACAACTAATTAATTTAGAACTTTCAATGAATAATATCTCCGGCGAAATACCCAGAGGTATCACAAAACTCAGTAGCCTCTGGCAACTCGAGCTCTACAATAATAGCTTAACAGGAGAATTGCCTCCCGGAATGAAAAACTTAACCAATCTCGAGTTTTTCGATGTCTCAACCAACTTTCTGCAAGGGAATCTATCCGAAATCCGGTTTCTCAACAAGCTCAAGAGTCTGCAACTTTTCGAGAACCAGTTCTCCGGCGAAATTCCGGCCGAACTTGGGGACTTCCGGAACCTGGTCAACTTATCCCTCTACACCAACAAGCTGACGGGCACGCTTCCCGAGAAGCTCGGCTCCTGGGCAGAGTTCAACTTCATTGACGTGTCCGAGAATTTCCTGACTGGCCCAATCCCACCGGACATGTGCAAGAGGGGCACCCTGAAGATGCTCCTGATGCTGCAGAACAAGCTGACCGGTGAAATCCCGAGCAGCTACGCCAACTGCACAGCGTTGCTACGGTTCCGGGTGAGGGATAATG